CACCCGGAACCCGGGCGGCCCGACTGGTAGCCTAGTGTTCTACCATGTCATGGAACATTTATTTCTGACCCTATAAATAAATTTATTGTATTTAATAATTAAATATATGAAATAGATTTATGAATATCAAATATGTTCTTGAGAGAATCTTCACACAATGTAATAGTCGTCTTACATCACATAACTTTCTTACCTCCCTCCTAATAAAACATTGCGGGAAGTGATGTATGGTCATTTTCAATGTGAACAGTTGCACAGTCTTAAAATGATCTTCAACATGGATTGATTAACTCATGTTTTTTTTTCTGAGATATTCAAAACCTTTGATTTTACCATCTATTGTGGACAAAATCGTGGAGAGAAGAAAAAATAAAGTATTGTGGTTGACAGAGAGTTGCACATTCACATCACAATGTCCTTTTGCTACTTTGCATGGTAACTTCTCCATCGAGGTTACAATCTCTTTGACATTTTCACTTATTGTATCATTCTCCCCCACAAATGTATTTTTTTTTTTGGGGGGGGCTTTTTGCTATCTTCTCTTATTCGGTCATCCGGGCTTGATAAAAAATTCCCAGATGATAAATAAGTGTGAAAAATGTGACCTTGCTGCTCCCACCAATAGATAGCAAGCAGTGCCAAGCACGAGTGACAATTGTTAGAAGGGGATGCTAATATCACCCCCTCTAGCAGTTTGATGCCGATTTTGAAAAGAAAAAAAAAAACATACATCAATCGATTGTGAATTTTCAAGTTCGTTATGCGTGCAGCAACGTGTGCTTCTACTCCCACTTCCATAAACACTAAACTTCGCAAGCTCAAACTACGAAAATAGAAGCAACTGGAAACAACTTGAGAAGGATGAGAATGGGCGGGCGATGACATGTCGTGCGCAACCATATCCAGATTGCCGACGACCAGCTTCTCAACTTTGGTGGTTGAGACCGCTGCATGGAGAGTTATGAAATGTATAAACAACAGCCTCAACTCCTTGGCTTGCGAGACATATACAGCCTATCGGATTTTTTAATTTTTAATATTATTTTTAAGGCTAATTCTTTTAAGCCCGACCAATTCAATTGCCTGTCGAATCTGGACAGAACGGCCTTTCCGGTCTTTCAATCGGAAAAAATAGCTTTGCCAATTACCAGCCGGGCCGCCCGGGTCCCAGGTGGCCAGCCCGTGCAAGGACCAAAGAAGGTCCCAGCAAAAAAACAAAACAAAACCAAATCCCAAAAAATCTGAAAACCAAACTATGGTATGCAAAAAAATTAACTACACAACTTTTGCCTCAAGGTCACATCGAAATTCTTCACCAAATTTGGAATAACAAATAAAATTTAAAAATAATTATTTTATTTTTATTTTTTTTTAATTTTTTTTGGCCCGGCCGGGCAAGTGACCCCGGGCCACTCTGGTAGCCTAGCCTCATAGTTCTGAAAAAAAACAGGGGAAAAAGGTTCAAAAAGGGTTGACTGACAACAAAACAACCTTTTGCTGTTACACGCCCCGCCTTTTTCACAATTCCTTTTTTTCCCAGTCCTTACTTGCCACAACTTTCCACGCTTTGGCTGCAAATTCAAAAAGATTTTGTGCCACGCTGGTCACTTTTTTTCTTGGCGGACAACCAGAGAAATCTGCCTCGGGAAAAATACACTCCCTACTGGTGGTTCAAAATTCAAAACATAAAGGAGGAACGAGTGAGAGCAGCATATCTTGGTCAAGACTTGCGCATGCCACACCTAAAAGGCTAAAACAGACCATAATGGCCTTACTCCTTCCCCCATCCCATCTCCAACATTCTTCCCCTGCCCCCATCTATACCTCCGCAATGTATATGCACACACCTGAAACAGACCCTACCGTCTTCCCCCGAACATAACGCACCCTGCAAATGAACGTATACAAGGTATGTTTCCGGCCCGATACAGGCAAAATGGGGGTGCGTTGTGTTCGGGGGAAGACGGTAGTGGCCTTACTCCTTCCCACATGTCCAACATCCTTCCCCTGCCCCCCTCCCAACCACCCATCTATACCTGCGCAATGTTTATGCCTTTTAAAACTTTCATGACCCTATTTGAAGGCACAATGGGAAGGCATGGTGACGTCTTCTGCTAAACTACAAGTGCTTGGCCCAATAAACAGCTGTAGGCCAGTGCCACACCTTCCTACCATCATGGCCACTGCTAAGCAGGCCATTGATGAAATTCCTCAACATCACCAAACCCCTAATGTCAGCGTGCATAACGACTAGTGGTTAAGAAAAAAAAGAAAAAAGGAAACAGCGACAATACAATGACATTTTGAGGGAGTGTGGAATGACATACGCCGTTAACTCGTCCCTGTCGAAAAATTCACAACAAATCATCGATGTAGGCTAGAAATCTTGGGCTACTTGGCTCACCCAGCCGGGCAGCGTCCCCTTGCAACATGAGCAAGTCGCCCAGGGGTCCTTTTTTTCGTTTTCTTGGGTGAGGGTTTTCTGCACATGCGCACAGGAGCCCGAATCCAGGCTCCGTTCTCTTTTCGAGTGTTGGCTGTCAAGGGGGTTCGGGGGTGGTGGGGGGGGAGAAGGGGGTATAAATTGATTTTGAAGGGGCTAAAGGGGTCTAACGGGGGTTGCCTTACTTTCGTTGCCTTTCGACGAACTCAGCGCAATTTTTTTATTTGCCCGCGCATGTTTTCTTTCGCTCGTTCGATAGTCAAATGTGACATGAGCGTACGGTCCACAATAATTTTATACACCGTCAAACAGAACTGCCAGGTAGAACTGCCAGGTAGGCAAAAAGAGCGAGAGCAGCACGACACCAACTCAGCAGGAGGCTGTCTCACATTTTGTTGACCTGCCCGCCAAGGGGCCCAATTTTGTCGACCTGCCCCCCAAGGGGCCCAATTTTGTCGACCTGCCCCCCAAGGGGCCAAATTTTGTCGACCTGCCCCTCGAGCAGCCCAATTTTTATTGACCTCTCAAGCCACCCTTTGTCTAACCTGGACCCAAGCAGCATGGGTATTTGGGATTGGGGATCATCAGAGAGAGATAAACGGGGCTACTGCCACAAATTCAGCATCTGAAGAAAGTCCGAAACGCAAAGCAAGACAAAAGTCTTGACGCACACCAATCCCCATCGATGTTTCGGACTTCCTTCAAATTGTAGAATTGCAACAATTGTTGACGCACACTAATCCACAAAGTTGAGAGGGAACGAGAAAAAGGTCACAGACTTCCGACCGGGCGGGAAGGAGGCGTCACAAATTTCCACAAGGGGAGGAGAGGGGTCACAAATTTCCACAAGGGGAGAAGGAGCAGTCACAAATTTCCGAAAGGTTAGGGACGAATTTCCGACAAAGAAGGGAAAGGAGGGGTCACATATGGGAGGGAAAGAGGGGTCACAAATTTCCAGAAGCGGAGGGGCCATTCACATAGGGGAGGGCAGGAGAGTAAGGGTCACAAATTTCCAAAATGAGAGAGGTGGGATAACATACGGGAGGAAGGAGTTATATATGGGAGGGAAGGAGGGGTCACAAGTTTCGACGAGGGGAGGCAAGGAGGTGTCACAAATTTCCAAACCGAGGCGTGGGACTTCGGTGGGTCTGACGCCCGGGATAACCGGATATGGGTTAAAAAAAAAAAAATTAAAAAAAAAAAAATGACGGTGGGGGTTTTCTGCTCCTCTCGGAGAGGAGCCCAAATCCGGGCTCTTTTCTTTTTTCGAGTGTTGGCTTTAAAGGGGGGGCAAGGGGGGTATAAATTATTTTTAAAGTGGCTGAAGGGGTTTAAAGGGGGGTGCCTTGGTGTGATTCGGTTATTTTCCTTTTTATCTTCAGTTCCGTGAGAAGTTCTGATGTGACCTTCAGCCAACAGTTGTTTGTATTGCAATTCTACAAACGTATGTTTTTTCCAGGTTTTTTTTTTTTTTTTTTTTTGGCGCTGGGACAGCCCGGGGGTCATGCCCGACCGGTCACCCGAGTGTTTCTGGGCACAACTTGGGTGCCCAGGCGCCCGGGAAAACGACCTAGGTATAAGTCGCAAAAGTCGACAGAAATGTCACGTGAAAAGCCCACAGAAAGGGGGAGTTAAAAAAAAGAGTCCACAGAAAAGTCTGAAAGTTACTGGGAAAAAAAAAGTCTATGAAAATAGTATGAATACCTTTATCAGCCTTTTGGTTAAGATCGAGTGTAGTATCTGTTCTGATCAGTTTAACATATGATCCGTCGAAAGAAAAAGAAAAAGAAAAAAACAGGTCGACAGACGAACAAGTGGATGAAGGATGAGTTGACAAAACTACGGATTTTGTTACGGACTCCGCCAGGGCTCGATCCCTGGTCTATCTTTTTGCTGTTTCAGCTGCATCCCGTTTTCGGCCTGGCACCCTTTTTCCAAACCCCTCCTTTGGTACCGTAGGATTTTGGACAAATGGCGCCATGCTGCAATTCAGGCGCCACTTTCAAATACTGCATTTTTCAGTTCTGCCCTCGGGGCSTTTGCAGAAATGCCCCTGGTACCGTACGTGYCACCGGTACTTATACCGGCTCCCCGTACGGTRCGGGGACCAGTCTCGTACCAGTTTTCTGCTGCTGTACTCGTACTCAGTGTGACTTGCTCCTGTTCGGCATTCAGAATCCAAGACTTGGACTTTGTGTCCTTGCCCGTGTGTCTGCGTCCGACCCTCAGTCGTGTCGAGTGAGTGAGTGTGTGTGTGTACTCTCACTCTCTCCCTTTCCCCTCTCCCTCGGCTCTCCCTGTCTCCCTCAGCCTCCCGCTCGTAACACTGGTATCGGAGCGGCTTCGGCCCTCCCTCCCGCCCTGATTCATCATCGTCGCCGTCGACCTCATCGCCATCGTCGTGATCGTCATCGCCGTGACACGTCATCATCGTCGTCGTGGTCGTCGCCGTCATTCCACGTCATCATCGTCATCGTCGCGACTATCGTCATCGCGCCACGTCATCGTCGTCGTTGAAGATCCGCCTTGATCCTTTGCCGCGCCCCGCCAGGTAAGCAACAAAATTTTTCTTTTATTTTCTTCTTCTTCCTTTTATCTTCTCTCTCCTCTCCTTCTTCTTCATTTCTTTCTCTTCCACTTTTTTTTTTTTTCCCTCTTCCTAACCCAGCTCCAGAACTCTTTTCACCTCCACCACATGCCCCTTGCCCACTGGCTCCCCATTGCCACCTCCCGCCTCCTCGGCAATGCCGCCAAATGGTGGATGGCTGAAGTCAGCAACCGCCGAGCCTCTGGAGGACCACGTCACTCCTTCCTCCAATGGGCCAAACTTCTCGCAGCCACCTTCTGCCCCCAGAAAACCGTTGACGACTACCTCGAACAATTCTGCCACCTCCGCCAAACCGGTCCCACAGACCGCTTCGTCCAATACATCCGCTCCCTCCACCATCACCTCCCCACCACCGTCATTCCTGACTTTGCGTTCATCTCCCGCATCAAGTGAGTATGCCACAAAGATCTTGCCACCGCCCTCGCCCACGAACCCGACATGCCCCTTGCTGACCTCCTCTCTCGCATGCTTCACCACGATCGACTCCTCCACCCCCATCACCAGTCCGCGCCCGCTCCCTCCCGGCCCCTCTTTCTCCATAACGACACCACTCAACCCACCTCCGATGACGACTTCGACACTGCCTCTCTCGACCCCTCCCAATTCACCATCGAGGACCTCCAGACCGCCCACCTTATACGGATGGAACGCCRGGATCKTRCCTCTCGACCGCCTTCTTCCTCTCCACCCCGCCGCCTCCAGAAACTCACACCCGCATAACGCATATACCTCCAGGAACACAACGGGTGTTTTCGTTGCCGCCAGTTAGGTCATCAACAGACCAACTGCCCCAACGCTAGCCACTTTACTCGACAGGCCCCTCGCTTCACGGGACCCGGCCCTTCTACTCCCACTCCTCCCTCCACCTGAACATTGTCCACCCAGTCTTCCATATCGAGTACCTAAAAGAATACCATGAATCCCCGCTCCAGTTTGCCGACCGCCCATATCCTAGACCTCCACCAATCATGCTACCTACAGACCCTGAATTCGTTGTCGAAACCATCATCAGCCGACGAACCACTCAGGTATCTGATCATCCGGAACCAATCATTGAATACAAAGTCAAATGGACCGGATACCCCGATGAAGAATCTACATGGGAACCTCTCTCTAATCTTAAGAACGCCATGAAACTTGTCCGCGCCTATGATCGTGCTAATCCTACGTCMTAGATACCTATATCACTATGGCAAAACCCCCGCTAAACCCTTGCAACCCTGCTCTACACACACCCCTGAACCCAGTCCACCCTTCCCTTGATCCTCATTCCTGATGTCTGATCTGCCTCGCCCTCGCCTAGCCTTGTCCCATCTATCCTCTCCACTACCTTGTCTCTCTTGTCCAATGCTTGTGAACTTGCGTAACGCCGGCGATAAAGGATCTAACTTGAATGGCAAGCGCACGAGGACGATGGCCTGCTGCCTCACTGTTCATGGAGATTATGCAGCTGGTTTGGCCACCATGCTGTTTCATTGGCCGGCATCCCGACTCGCGGACTTACTGGAGCAGCAACTTGTGACATGGATCTTTGCATCAGTCTGCGACTTCCCTGCTTCCAGATCAGACCTCATTACAGTTGGTGTACCGGACGCACCCTAGCACTTGGACTTTGACACTTGAACTACTACTACGCTTCTTGGACTTCTACCTATCGCAGCTGCTGAAGACCGCTTCTACCACCTACTCCAAAGACCTGATCAAGACCGCTGCAGACGCCCTTTCAAGACACCTGGACACTTTGTTCCTACATGAGATTCTGCTTCCGACTCCTTCGGACACACCAGACTTTGCATCCTGAACAAACATTTTCATCTTTATTTTTCCCAACTTTGATAACCCTGTAGAGCATCATTAGCAGATCCCTGTTTCCCTTACCATTGTTCCCCGTACCCACTAGAACATCAATAGACATCCCTTGTTCCCCTGGCCATTGTTTCCCTTACCCACTAGAACATCAATAGACATCCCTTGTTCCCCTGACCATTGTTTCCCTTACCCACCACAACATCAATAGAAATACCCTGTTTTCCGGAACACCGTTTCCCTTACCCAGTAGAACATCAATAAAAGTTCCCTGTGCCCTGAACTTTGTTCCCTCTTAACCTATAGCGAACCATGAGTCCCCTTAGTTCATCAGTAGGACCACCCTGCTCCCTATCTTCCCTTTAGTTCATTTGTAGGACTACCCTGTTCCTTGCAACCCCCCCTAGTTCATCAGTAGGACAACTCTGTTCACCGGTACCAAACCCTGTTCCCTCTTACTCCCGCAGCCCATGCCACCCACATCATACCCCTCTTCCCTTTCGACTTGTTAACCAGTGATCGGCCCCGTCCCGTCCCTCACAGATTTCAGCATTGCTTCATGATTTTTGGCAGCCGGGACGTTGCCTTCTAGAGGGAGGGGATAGTGTTACGGAGGGCTCGATCCCTGGTCTATCCTTTTGCTGTTTCAGCTGCATCCCGTTTTCGGCCTGGCACCCTTTTTCCAAACCCCTCCTTTATGGCGCCATGCTGCAATTCAGGCGCCACTTTCAAATACTGCATTTTTCAGTTCTGCCCTCGGGGCCTTTGCAGAAATGCCGCTGGTACCGTACGTGCCACCGGTACTTATACCGGCTCCCCGTACGGTACGGGGACCAGTCTCGTACCAGTTTTCTGCTGCTGTACTCGTACTCAG